ATTTAAAAAAATAAAACCTTATCATAATTTTTTTGGGGGACACCTGGTATAAAACAAAATATTGGAAATATAAGCACTATTATAAACCATGCAAAATCTGTAAAAAAATTTTTTATCTTTGTCAACGACGACGATATTGGACTCGCTTCAATATATAAATAACGTCATCCCACTATCCCCAATTTAATTGACAAATATCGTTTTCTCTAACTTAAATGTTTACGTTTGTTATCCACTGACCTATCGATAAATTTATCTTCCCCGACTACTCTATTTGCTTTGTTTGGTAGATCCGCAGGACTTCCACCTGATTAGACGGAACACGACCAGCCGGCCAGCCTGTTCGTAAACCATCATCGTCTTGATTACCTACGTTTCGTTACATTTCACGCTGCTTGCTCACCCCTTCGTCCTGCGTTCCTTCTACGTTTTGCCTAACATAATAATTCTCGGTCGTAATGAAGGGGGCGCTCGCAGTCGCAGGACGAGGGACTATAAGGTGTAGTCGTGCGTGTATATTATGTACGTTTGCACGAAAAGGGGGTTTGAATTAAAAGGAGAGTACGGATTATGGAAGAACTATGTGAGGCTTAAAGAGAGGTTAAACAGTACGAAATTGAGATGACTCAAATAACACAAGATCTGTTTCATACATCAAAAAACGTTTTTGAACATATAGCAGTATGCTGTTGTCCTGAATATGTACTTTACAAAAACGTTTCGTTTATGAAATTAGCCGGCGTAAATGAGCAGTGTGTATCAAGAGATTTTACACTTTTGCCTTTATTGGAACAACAGCACGATACAGAGTTTCGAACCGGTCACCCGTCCATCCACTAGTATCGCCTTACGTCGCTTAACTTCGGCGTTCTAATGAGAATCGGCGTTTCGACGTAGCTGGACCGTTGCCACTTGTATATAATAGTCACAAATTAAAATATAATTTAGCTAGAAAAACCTTTTTTTCTGGTTATTAAATTTAAATTAATTAATAATAATTAAATAATTAATAATTAAATTAAACTTAATAAATAGAAAAATGGATCAAGTTATAAAGTCATTAATTTTCCAAGCATTTTATTTAAAACCCCGTTTTAATTTTAAATTTCGTTTTAATCGATGTCTACCTGAATATTAATATATGGGTAAATTCGAACTAAATAAAGCGTTAAGTAATTTATTAAAACAATAATTTTCGAGTCGCTATAATACCGCCTATTAATAATTCAATAAAGATGCTGTTAATTTTAATTTACAACCATTGGTGGCCGTATTTTGCTGTATATTCTGTAAATTTCGAGTTTAAATAAACCGACGTTTCGATGAGAAGGTAGCCACTTCTTCCTGTTTAAATTTTAAAGTGGTTATTACAAGATGGTTATTACATTGGGTACCCGGTGGTGTGGAGGTACAGCTCTCGTCTACCAATTTGAAGGTTGTGGGTTCGAATTCTACAGCCGGCATTTCATCAGCCGACTATTTTTAATAAAAATTAAAATAGTTTGGTTTGACTCAGCCTTAAATGAGTATTTGGGATTCACAATCCTGAGGTAATAATAGGCGATTGAAGCGTAGTGTTAGTCACATTACCTTCCTTGTATACCGAACGACTCTAGCATGGGAAGCTGTACCATGGTACTCCCAAGGCGTTAAACGCTATATACCTGAGCTACTATTATTATATTACAAGGATCATATATTATATGTATAAAAAAGCTGGCTACACGTACAAGCTTTTTCACGATCTTACCTGCACAAACCTTATTGTAAGAGGAACTTGCTGTGTGTAGACGGTAAAACGGTAGCACCAGGGCCATGTAAGTGAAATATTCAAAATGGTTCCAGCAAAAGTTTCCCAATTATGACGGGTGATGGCGCTGATCGTCAAGATTTTTGGACAGGGATTTTCCTTACCGACAATACGACGTGAGCTACGACCGGACCAGGACCAATCAGAATGATCAGTCTTTCTTTGACATTTGCCGCGGAAGTGTGTGTTAATTTCTGTTGTGATAAGTGTGGTTGTGTTTGCAGTTTGATTTTTCCTTTGAATAAGAAGACTAAGGAAGGAGCATATCAAAAATCTTAGGTCCACCGCGATGGGCCTCAAATATGGCCGACTTAAATTCCGGTTAATCAGTGCCGTTCTAATTTTATTTAAAAAATGTAAAACTATGATGTAAGGTAGACGTGGGGTAGACTCAATAATATGTTGTTTTATTTGACGTTGTGAATAAATGTTGGTAGTTATTAAAATTGTTACAAAAATATATAATTCTAATAAAAATAGATAAGTTATAATAATTATTTATTAACACAAACATCTGATACGTTACTGAAGCAGGTAAATCTGGTAAATCAAATTGACGTATCTAAATTCTTTGACATCTAATCTTTGACAAGTAGTAAATAAAAACAAAAAAGCAAGAAAAAATATATACTTAGTTAATTTAAGTGAATTTCATAAATGATCGGTTTACTACACGTATGTATATTATATAGTCACTTACTAGCGAAAAGTTGTTCCATTATTTCACTCGATTTTTGCCGAGATCTACCGCACGCTACACAACCAACTATTTAGAGTCTTTTTCGATAAATCGCGATAGTGTCACTGTTAATTTAAGTTCTGCCACAATTTCCATCTAGATTATTTTTATTTAGTTGTATAAAGGTAATACAACTATCAGTAGTAGAATAAATAATGAATAACATAAAATAAGCTCCGTAAATACTGCCAAATGCATAAAATTTCAAATCAAATTCAAATGTGTCAAATGAATCGTCAAACAGAACTGTCAAGGATCCCCACCCTAGAGTGCTTTTTCCGCCCACCATGCATGAATACATGGATAGCATTATGCTCCTTCCTTAGTCTTCTTATTCAAAGGATTTTTCGGTTTTGATATTATGTTAAAATTAATTTTGAAGTATTGTATCACCTGTTTTTATGTAATAGTACTTTTTTTAGTTCTGTGATCTGATATGTTATGATTTGTTAATGTTTGTTTAACAATGTTATACCAAAGAGTTTTTTATCAATAAACTTTGTAGATTTTCAGATTATTTAATTCCTTTTATTTCCGTTTGTAATTTATTTTTAAGACATATTATGTGATTGTTTCAGATAATATGTTTTAAAAATAAAATTGCAAATAGCGAATAAAAATAATTGAAATAAAAAAGTGTATTTTACAATTTCCCCCGGCCCCGCACCCCTTTGGATAACCTGTAAATGTCAGCTTTGTCGAGAGATGGCGTTACGAAAATGGAACCGATTTATTACAAGGAACTTGGGCTTCTTTTTCGTTAGTATATTCTGTGGGTAGCACGCACAAACCAAAAAGCGCGCCTTTCGTTAACGTCGGGCTGCTAGAGATTTTAGTTTGTGCGGTGATATCACACGGGTAGACGGTATCAGCGAGTTCAAGCTACAGTTTTGTGACTCTTGTGGATTTTGTATTAAATAATAATTCGTCACTTGACATTTCCATGAACTGAACTACAAATTCTGAATAGAAATAATGATGAATGTACGATATTACTTGCATCGTGTGGACATCACACAGTGTTCCTTCTATTTTGCGCAAACTATACCGTGCAGCAAGTTGCTACCGTATAGCTGCCGCGGTCTTTTTTGATCCACTCTAGTATACACGGTTTTTAAAAAAATCTGTCCACTAAGCGTCCGCCTAACCGTAACCTCTTCACAAAACCTGGCCTCATAACTTAGGATTATGTAAAATCATTGGGAACCCAAAAATACAATCATATACAGTGTATTCCATTTAAAAAAAATCATCCCAATCCACTTCCACTTTTTTGAGCCAGCCTATAGAAGTTAAAATATTATTCTGGAATACATACTTCAGCTTTGCACTTTCTCACGTTTTTTATTCTAGGAGCTACTTAACGCCCGATGCACTATTGCCGCACTCTGTATGTAAGCAAAATGCAATTTTTCTACTTTCACAGCTAAAATAAAAACAAAGTGAATTTAAAACTGATAACCACACCACACATAAGATGCAATCTGTACTTAAATACTTATTTCTTTCTCAGTTTAAAATTATTAGTTTGAATATTTAATTTTATGATGACGATTTGTTAATGTTTTAAAACAAAAAACTAAAAATATATATTATTTTATATAGAACTTACTTTGATTACAATATTTTATATTAAATGAATTTATAAAATATGTATTTTGAGTAATATCTACAGGCTTAATAATCCAAATAAAAGATGGGTGCAATATATTTTATACAAATATAAAATTCCATAAAATGAGCACTTGCTATTAAAAACGCAGATATGTAGAATCATTATTTTTATTAATTAATAACTCAAATACACCATATTTAATAGCATGCATATTTTGTTCACATATTTGAGATATATGTCGGTTAATAATTTTACATAAAATAAAATAATTTATAACGACTACAATATTATTTTTATTATGTTTAATTCTGCACAATTATTTATTCAGTTTAAATTCCAATTCGTAATATTTACCGATTTATATTTAAAATCTGAATGGGAATAAATAATTAAATACATTATAAAAAGTATGACACGTTAATTAAATGTGATATCTATTTATACATACCGAATTAATTTATGTGGTAATGATAATGATGTCTCGTCAATCAGATATTTTTTATATAATTTCGGTTCCAAAATTTTTATGTTTCAATTATTAAACCTTCTAAATACATAGAGTTCATACCAAATAAACTTTTAGTCACGTGATTAAGCTTGACCGGCACAGCGTTGCCCATTTTTGTATATTTTCTTTTTTAGTTTCTATATTCAAACAGAATTTAATATATATTACGGGTGGAAACCATTACAATAATAAACAAATCATTAGGGTAAGTCTCCTACTGCTGCCGCAGTCTTCCCGTTTCCCACCTCCAAGCTAGTCTATCAAAGACATCATCGTCCTCTAATTGCCGAGCTTCCATGAATTCTCTTATTTCGTCGGTCCAGGATCCTCATGGTCTTCCTCGTTTTCTTCGTTGCGGCGGAACCCATTGAAAGACTCGTTTTGGCCATCGATTATCCGGCATTCTCATGAGGTGACCAAACCATTTCAGCGATCTTCTCTCTATTCTATCAACCACCGTGTCCTGAGCATCAATTCTTCTTCTTATCACTTCGTTGCGCACGCACTCCCTTCTAGATACTCGTGAACTTCGCCTGAGGTACTCCATTTCGGTGGCAAGAAGTTTTCTGCGCAAATCAGAGTTAACTGTCCATACCTCACATCCATAGCACAAGACGGATTCAACCAGGCTCTGTCCAAGTCGTTTTTTATTCCTCTTGGATATGTGTCTATCCCACCAAACTGAGTTTAAGCATCCGATTACTCGTTTTGCGTTCTGAATCCTTATTTTAACTTCCTGTTGTTCGGGGCCTCTTTTGTTAATATTAACGCCCAAATATTTAAATTGTTCTACCTGGCTAAGCTGCACTTCATCATTCAGCAGGAGTTCAAAATTGGTTTTTGAGTTAACCACCAGAAATTTGGTTTTCTTAAAGCTGATTTTTAATCGCCATCTTTCATACTCTTCATGTAGCCTGTTTAACATAAACTCTAGGTCGTAAGAATCTTGAGAGATCACCACTTGGTCATCAGCAAAGCTGAGCGAATATAAAATATGTTCTCCCACTGGTATACGCATTCCACCACATTTTCGTTTTCACTCTTTTAGTGCAACTTCTATGTATATAGTAAAAAGCAATGGAGTAATACTGCAACCTTGCCTTAAACCTTTAGTTGTTATTATAGGTTCGGACAGATGTTTTCCAGCTTTAATATATGAGTGGTTGTCTCTATAGAGTTCATTTATAATTTCTATTAGGTTTCTATCAGTCCCGATTACTTCTAGAGCTACCCAAAGTTTCGAGCGTCTTACATTATCGTATGCCTTCTCTATATCTATAAAAAGGCTAGGTGCACTTCTCTATCTAAGGCAATTTTTTTTCCAGTAGTTGTTGTAAGGTAAGTAATCGAGTATTAAGGTAAGCTTATCGATACAAGACCTTCCTGGCCTAAATCCGCTCTGGTCTTCTCCGATTTTGTGACCTACATTAGCCCGAAGTTTATTTTGTATTATTATACCATTTAGGCGACTTAACGAGCTATTGATGCTAATACCTCTATAGCAATTTGGATCTTTTCTGTTGCCTTTTTTGAAAGTGGATACAATATGTGAGACTTTCCATTCCGTAGGAATTTTGATTTGGTAGCAAACCATATTCATCAGATTAGTGATTCGGTCTAGTGTTTTCCTCCATATTTAAGTAGCTCTGGCGCAACATTGCCTGGTCCAGGCGATCTTCCATTTTTCATAGTGCTGAGGGTTTTTTCACTTCTGCAATCTCGATTGTTAACTGATTGGCGTGAGTAGTAGTAGGCGTTTCTTGGCTAGTAAATTCCGGTCTTCCCTGTACAAATAATGTCTTATAGTGTGCGTGCCAATTGTCTAGACTAATCCATTTATTGAATAATTATGTATTTGGTGTTTTTAGCTTTTTTATTACTCTCCATGCTTCACTGCTTGGTGCTCCTCCCACCGTGTTTTCAATTTCAATGCATTTATTTTCCCAAAAGATATGTTCTTTTCCTCTGTTATAGCTGATCGTAGTTGACGGTTTTTTAATTTGTACTGTTCTCTGTTTGAATTTTTTTGAGTCAGCCATTTCTAGTAGGATTTATTTTTCTCCTTTATAAGGTTTTTAATTTCATCTGTCATCCAGTGAGGTTCGCCACGTTTTTTGTTGGTTATTACTTCACCTAGGGCTTAGTTGGCAGCTTGGTGTATTGCACGCTTAATGCACCGCTTAATGGTTTCGTATTCTGTTTCGACGTCTGGATTGGTCTCAAGGCATTGAAGAATATTCTTTAATTTGGATTGGTTTAGCTCTGTCTACTGTTTTCGTTTTGTAGGAGATTTAATTTGTATTTTTTATCCTGAGATCTTTCTGTTGAAACAATTTTGGCCGGTTCATTACGTTCTTTGTGATTCGTAAAAGGGCAGACGATATTGGCTATTACCAGATAGAGGTCAGATCCACAATTGGCCCCTCTATTAACCCTAGAGTTTTGTACCTTGAAAGAGGCTCGTTGTTTAGCGATTACATAGTCAATTATAGATTTTTGATTTAAAGATGGCCTTTCCCAAGTGTATTTGTGGATTGTCTTATGAGGGACAGAATTAATAATTTAACAGAATTTAATAATTCTCAAATAATAATAATTCACTGTTGTCCCTTATATTAATAAATCCTTCAAAAATATTTCATCCCGAGTTTCATCCCCTTTGATGAGTGATTCTGTACATGATACCTTGTGTTTTCAACTTGATCAATATTAATTTTTTATTATACTCGGTAGGATATCGTACTACTAAAAAGCGAGGGTTATAAGGGTAAGGAATTAATAATTATTTTGTTAATCGCTGGATTTTAATTTTGCTAAAAAGAGCATAAAAGCATCTTCGAAACTTTTGTTTTGCTCAAAGCTGTAATTAATATTTAAAATTTTACACACCGCTGATTTTTGGTTATTTCAATATAGTTTATAGCTGAGTAGCGTGAAGATATAATAAAGCTTATTGCCTAACAAGAAATTGAAACCATTAAATTTTCAAATCAAAAATTATAAAAATTAATTAAAAAAGAGAGTTTTCAAAATTTAAAATATTTGCACAACAATCATGGAACACATACTATAAAATAAATATTAATAATGACAAACTGAAAATGAAAAAACTGATAAAAATATGATTTTATATTTTTAATATAAAAAAACATATGTATTTCATATATATTAGAAAGCTGTCCAAATATTTCTTTATAGTGGAGTAAAAACGATATAAAAATATGTCAAAATATTTTTTGGAGGTATAACTACATCATATCTGTACAGGATTATCAGTTAGGGCTTTGTGCATGTGAAATAACTAATTACGACCATATTGGGGAGGTCAGAAATTTTTCCTGGAAAATGTTAAAAATGTGTCAAAAATTTATAACCATGTTTTTTTCCTTTCCTACGCAACAACTTCTAAACTAATCAACTTATTAGTTATACAAAATATTTCTTGTTATTACGTTTGATTATACAGGGTGAGTCTAAAATAAGTGCAAACATTTTCAGGTCTGGTAGGTTATATCTCGAGAAAAGAATCATATTTTCTCTTTACAGTTTTTCGAAAAGTTCAAAATAACCGAGTTATTCAAGTTTGAAAGTTTAAAAAAATATATTTATTTAAAAAAAATGAGAGCCACCGGATTTTTTCTGTATTTGCTCTTTTTTGTATTGCTTTCTGTAACCTGCTTTCTGTATTGCTAGTTTTCACTCGATAACTCCAGTGAAAAATACTCCATCACCTGCGCTTTTGAACAGAAGGTGTTACTTATCAGTTTTATTACTTATTTTCATTTGGTCTCAAACTTAGCCAAATAAATCTCAAAATCAGAGTTATTGAAACAAAATTAGTACTTCTTGTTAAAGCGCTTTCAAATCATTCAGGTACATGAGAAAAGTGTCAACAAACAGCAAGCAAAATGGAGCGAGCATTATTTGGGTATAGATTGAAATATTATACAGGCCTTTCAGTAGTTTAAGCTTTATGTATAATATATAAAGAAAATTTTATGATCGATGATTATTGGAATCCTCGAGGATCAACACACGAGGAGGGAAGTCATCCGATTATTCTCAACACTAATTTGCAACCCCTTTCGTATAACCATGATAATATCAATGATTAGGAAATTATACCGTGCACGATTATATGGAACGATTTTCTACATCTTTTTTTTTGTGAAAAAGCTCATAGACGAAATATACCACCCCTAAAAATATTTGCTCTTATTCAAGACTCGCACTGTATATTATTATATATTTTATAATAGCATTTATCACCTCTGTCTTATATAAAATGATATATGAAATTCTGTAGTTTCAGAATTTATTGTGTTTTTGGTCTCGTTTGCCAATCAAGTAAGGAGTGTTAAATTTTGTATTAAATTATATCAGTTGATATTATTGATTAATTGAAACAGCTTTAAACAAATGTGACAGTAAATGTGTTGTATATTAACATATCCCAAGTAGCATCTATCTGACTTCGAACTAAATCTGACCTGAAGCGACGTCAGACTTTGTGCAAATTTAGGTCGGGTGCTGGTGATACGACTGGTGACGTCGCTTTCCTATTAAAAGCGGCGTCGTTGGATCCGACTCAGTAAATCCAACGATCTGTCGACGTACAAAATAACAACGTACCATTTTTATTAATTTCCCAACGTCGTTCCAACGTTGGCTTGCACGACGTACCTATATTTGAACTAGCCCGACGTCTACCCGTTGTCCGAATAGGATACGTCTCACTGATAATCCCTAAAGTAACGTCCAATTATATTTTGTTGTATTTTATGTTCATATATTTAACCTAATTTACGTATCTCTATTTACGTACGTAAATACAACCCATTAAGTAGCATTTGCGGCATAATAAACATCATGAACATAACCTAATAAAAAGTTTTTGTAAACAAACTTAATTTTTTTTATTATGCCTAAAAAAACACTAAAAAGACATTTAGACATTCATCTACATTTTACAGAAAGAGGTCGAGGCTTTTGCAAAATAATAATAGTAGTAGTGATGTCTTCCCTCCACCCACGAATGCTTTTTATCCGGAAGAGATACTGCATTACACTGGTGCAACTTAATTTCATTTTTTAGCTTAGGAAACCAGCAGACCCCATCCTCCTCCCACATGTGAGGTACTGGTTCCAATTCTTTTAAATTTTGTATATACTATCTTAAAAAAGTAGCTGCCCATTGTTTTAAAGAGAAAACAATAACTAAAATATAGTTGCACACATCCACAAATCACTGATACGCAAAGTGAGGTTACGTGGCGTACGTTGGAATTATATACGTCATAATACGATTGCCGGTCGTCCGGTTTGATGACTTCGGTCGAGTGAGACGACTAATGTTGGAGACCCGGTCGGAATTGGTATATTGGTAGTTCATATTAAGTCGGACACAGAAATCCGCCATTCTTAACAGGTATCCGATTGTCAGCCATTTTAAAATCGTTTTTTGTTTTTAAAATTTATATTCACATTCCGATTTCTAGTAGAATAATATTGATAAGGTTGAGTTTGGGGGGAACCACAGTACAGTTTTATGATTAAACCAGCTAGAAAATAAAAAAAAAATATTTTGCAAGTTACTTTTTTATAGATATTTTTATTTCATAAATCTACCTACTTTTGAAGGCGCTCGTTGTTTTCCGGAGTATTTTAATCAGGTATATCAAAAAAGTGACTTCCGTTGACAAAACTGATGTCTGGATTAATGATTCAGAATTAATATAATATGAAATTAGGTAGGCACTTATAGTTCTATTCGAGGAGTGATTATGAATCCATTTGTAATTAGGTAGTTTGGTTAGGTTTTTATGTATTCTTGGTAGCGAATATGAAACCAAACGTAACGTAAGTGCTCAGCGACGAATTTTAAGTGACTAAAATCCAACGTAATATGAAGTTGGTAATTGGTAGAATTACATTCCCTATTAGGTCAGATACCGACGTCGTAGGCGACCCGAATCTGTATTCCCCATTTAGGTGCAAATAAGGGTCGTCAGGCGGTCG